CCTTGAAAAATTGAATCAGATGCCATTGCAGTATTAGTGGACGATGATGGTGCACGAAGATATTTGTTGTTGTTATTATTATTGTTGTTGTTGTTGCTGATGATGCTATTGTTGCGATTATGTTTTGATAGTGAATTGTTTAATTTTGATTCATTAAGTTGTTTTTGTAAATCTTTTAATTCTTTTAAACATTGCTCATATCTAGGTTTAATTTCTTTAAGCTCGGCAATAGTTTTGTCATGAGTTATTTGTAGCTCATTTAATTTCGATTCCAAGGTTGTAACTGATGGTAAAAACTCGTTATTATAACTGTCATCATCTATATCATAAACCTCTTTACCATTTAAATTTATAATAGGCCTAATATTTGATAAATTCGATGTATTTATAAGTGGTGGTAATAATTTATTATGAGTGACTTTATTATTATTATTATTATTATTATTATTATTTGATTTTTTTAATTGCTTAAAGCTTTGTATTTCTTGAGCAAGTTCATCAACATTTCTTTCCAATAGTAAAATTCTTTGATCACGTTCGGTAATCTCATCCAATAACCATTGCTTCTCTTCTGTATCAATATTCATTTGTTTTTCAATCCTCTCTTGTAATATATTAAATTCATTATCTTTTTCTTGTAAAGATTTTTCCAAAGTTAAGGATTTATCCAATATTTCACGAGCAGAGTTTTGAGTTGATTCCAATTTTGATTCTAATTGATTGATCAAAATTTCGTTATTTTCTTCAGAATTTTCAAAGTCATCAAGTTTCACCCGAAGTTCCTCAATCACGTTCAAATCTTTAATTTGTTGAGAAGATTCTATGTTGAGCCTAATTTCAAGATTTTTTATGTATGATTCCGTGGTTTCTTCATGTTCAATTAATTTTGTCAATTTTGATTTAATCTCATTTATTAAAATTTTATTTTTTTCATTTGCTTTTTCAGTCTCGTGTAATTTTAATTCTCGAACTTGTATAGTTGATTCAGAGTTGGTTAAGGTCTCACGGGCATTGTTCAATTGTTGTTCGAGAGAACAAATAGATTTTTCATAATCTTGTATAATTGGTTTGACTGTTTTTTCAAAACTAGGCCAAAGATTTTCTATGAATTCTTTTTGATCATTAGCATTGAGCAAAGCTAGATATTTTGATAGTGATTCATTGTTGCTTATATCACCTAATAAAACTTGAGACATTTCAGTATAAATTTTATGAAGATGTTGAAACTCTACTTCTAAATTTTCAATCATGTTATCACCCTCTTCTTCTTCAATAATCGTTCTTGATGATATTGAATTTTTTATTTTAAAATTTGGATCATCATCATCGTCTTCATGATTATGATTGTCATATTTATTAGAAATCAATTTTTTTAATTTAGAACCGAAAATTGAATGATTATTGTTGTTGATGGTAGCAGGTGATGATGATGTTGTTGGTGATGATAATGATGATGAATTATTATAATTATCAAATGAAGATCTTCTTCTTATTGGTAAATTATTAGCAGCAGATACTCTTAAATTTTTAATTTCGTCTCTAAGTTTTATAACGAGGCTTTGTAAATATTCTATGTCGTACCAACCAGGCTCCTGACTTATTACAGCTTTATATTTGATATTTCTGACTTGATTAACACAATCCAATACCTTTATCGTTTCGTTGATGTAGTATTCAGAGGGAGGCACACAGGCTATTACTAAAATTTCTGAATTTTCACAAAGATGTTCTTTTAATTTGAAAGATAAATTTTTATCATAATACAAATCGTCAGAATCGTGTATGTTATTTTCTTGATTTGTAGATCCACTAATTGAGCGAATCAAGTGATTTAGCGAGATAATGTCATTGGAAGAAGGAATTATTTCGCTTTTTCTTACCTGTAATAATAAATAATGATATTAATAATTAATTTGTGAATATATTACAAAAATATATTGTATTTTTCTAAATAAGAAATCTGAAATGTCAATAGACTTACTAAATGATTTGTTGCTAAATCAACAAATTGAAATTTACTTGTGACAGAAACCCAATCGCCTTCAAAAGAATTTTTATGATTTAATGATTTTAAATCTTCCCTTGATTTTGATTTGAAAATTTTGAAAGTTTCTGAAATGTTTGACGATAATGATGAGAATGAGGAGGAAGAAGATTTAGGAATTAATTTTTGTTGAGTTAATGTGATGGAGAATACAGTATGTGATCTTGATGGATGAATAAGTATATCTTTTTGATTCATTTTACTATTCAGTCTTCCATTCGATAATAAACTAAATATTGATGATGATGATGATGATGATGAGATATTAGTAGAGATTAAATAAATTAGAGTAAAAATTAACAAAGTTATAATAAAAAACCTACCTCATTATTTCTCCAACATTATCAACTTTAATTTCTTTAATTTTATTTTTCTCGAATTTTGAACGTTCGTTATTTGCATCATGATCATCTTTATTATTGTTACCACCATTATCTGATGATATGCCTTCATTCGATTCTTCTTTAATTATTTTCTCATCATTAAGTAAATCAATTATTTCTTCATCGAAAATCTCGACAAAAGATATTTTTATGGAAAATTTACGATTTTTGTATTGAGCAGAGTTTATGAAGGAAAATAAATTTATTAAAGATCTTGGTATTAAACCATTTGAATCGTTTATATTATTGCTATTGCTTATATTATTATTAATTGTATTGGTATTTTTGTGTTTATCGACATCACTTAAACCCATTGTATAAGTTTTTCCGGATGAAGATTGACCGAATGTTAATATAGTTACATTGTAGCCTTCTAAAAAACTATCCACCTTACTCCTAACTGAATGATCGTAGACATCTTTTTGTGATGAATTATCATTGAAGACATGATCAAACGTGAAGAATTGTTTCTTTTCGCCTTGTATTATGACTTGGTTTGGTTTGAAAGGTGGTGTCGATAATACTTTTCTTTGAGATTTTGTGGGTATTGTGATTAATTCTTCTCCTGTTAAAGGCCTTATTCGCAGAGCTGAGAAATAAAATTATTAAGAAAAAAAAAAATAATAATAATAGTAACGCACATCATATAATAAATATATGCTACTTACCAACTTGTACTGTGGAATTTCCAGAAGAGGAATCGCTCATCTGGGACAGTTTAATGACTAAACGTTTGGGTGTTATTGAATGTAATAATAATAAAAATATGTGTTTGAATAATGGTATTTGATATAGCAGCAGTAACGGTGGCAGAACAATGATGATGAAGTGAGAAAAGTAGGGAAAGTTTTCCTTTAATATAGATTCCAGTTTGACTTATTTTATTATGAAAATGTTAATTTGATTTTATTTCGGGTTCCAGCCCCCGTTTCCTTTTCGTTTCTTGCTTTATTTTTTATTTTTTGAGCAAAGAAAATAAATTTTCTTTTTTAATAAAAATCTCGTTTTTGATTTTTTTATTTTTAAAAATTAAAATTAAAAGATACGGATAATATGGTAAAAATTGTTGATGAAAGTAATGATTGAATGAATAAATTGAATAGGTGATGGATGCGTCGTGAATGTTTTTTAGTGATGAATGTGGTGGAAGTAAATAATTATCAAACAAATGGGGGTAAATAATATTTATTGATGTTGTTAAAGAGTATTTTATTGGTATTATGATTATTCGTGGTCAATTTTATTTATTGTTGTTTTTATTATTATATCATATTCATGTAATATAAAGTGATCAATGTACGTGTGCGCGTGTATAATGTTTGACTTGTTTGAAATAAAGAATGTTGTAATACGAAAGAATGGATTAATTTTATTATTTCGAGAATTATTTCGAAAAATATTAATAAAGAGGTTTTTTTTTTTGCAAAAGAAAAAAATTTACTTTTTTATTGATTTTATTTGGTTCTTTTCGCGTGTAATATTTACGAGTAATTTTATGCATAAAAGATACCAATTAAAAATCATTCGTATATATTACACACGTATAATATATAAATAAATAATAAATAATTAATAAATATAATAAGCAACTTTAAAAATTTTTTTCTAAAAACAATATTGAATGTGTTACAGCTCTATTAAGGAAATGTAATAAATTAATTAAATTTGTATGTATACCGTTTCAAAATTTGACAAGATCATCAGTAATTAAATTTGCAATGACTGATAAATTTGACAATATAATTAAAATTGATTTAATTTCTTGTGATTTTATTATATATTCGAGATTACAAGATGAATACAAGAAATCATCCACCATCAATAGTAAAAATGATGGCGATATGGCATTCTTATTTAAACATAAAGAACTTGAAATATCAATTTGTTTAAATGGCACAAAAGATGAAATTGTTATACCAGCGGATCAATTATTAGGTTTTAAAATTATCAATAATCTTAATAATTTTAATAATGATCTTAATGAAAACCACAAAAATAAAAATAAAAGTAAAAATGTCATTTATAATATATTGTTAAAATTTAAACCAAATTTTAAAAGAATGGTAAAAATTTTTATATTTTTATTTTCTCGTTGATTAATACGTTAATAATGTTAATATGTTAATAATAATAACAATAACAATTATTGCAAGTATCAATATCACCTTGGAGGTTTTCCTTATCTTCTTGATCCTACAGTAACCGACGATGATCCTACAAATGGAAAATTAGATCAATCATCTTTTGTAAATCTTGTAACAACCAATCAAAATACAAACGAATTATCTTTAAAACTCATTGAATCAGCAATTGATACATCATGGTTTCAAAAATATCAACTAGAAAATGAAAGTATCATTGAAGACGATAATCAAAATGTAAGAATCTTGTCGTAATCATCGCAACCATTGTGTATTATTATATTATTTTTATTGATATATCTCTAATAATTATTAGATATATATAACTTGTGTATTTCCAACTGAACGTCGTGCAATATCTTTTCCAATCGACGCATCATTCAATCAATTATTAAAAAAACTTGAACAAAGATTTGGAACGAAAATTTTTAAATCTGTTTATTATAAAAATTGTAATAATGATATGATAATGTTGAGCGATGAAGTCCATTGGAAATTGGCTAAAAACGAACTTATCGGTGGTAATGATTTAAAGAGGTTAGAAATTCATATTTGGTAATTTATTAAAAAATATACAATAATTATGCACTTTAAAAATAAATAAAATAAATAAATTTGCTTTCTTCCAAGAATTGGAAGAAATAAAAAAAAAAATACTATATATATATACATATTAATATTAATATTAATTAATCAATTGACTAATGAACAAGTAAAACCATCGCTTCCATTTCCATTTCAGAATTATTTAACATATCATTGCCAGTATTTAAAAAATTATAAATATTATTATTATTATTGTTAAGATTATTGTTATTGTTGTTTTCATCTTCAAACACACTGACACTTCCAACACGTGCTAAACTCATTTTCCTACGATATTTCAAGCACTGTTTATACATTTTCCATATAGGCGAATTATTAAATAATCCTTGCCGCAAATGTGATAAATATCCATAAAAATAACAACAACAAATATCTTCGTGCACCATCATCGTCCACTAATACTGCAATGGCATCTGATTCAATTTTTCAAGGTTATCCAAAAACCAGATCTTTATCAGTAGAAATTCAAGGTGCTGAAAAACAAGAGTTAACAAGCTCTCTGGTTATTCAAAAGTTACAAATTGAATTAAGACAATTGGAAACATTACATCAAGATAAAGCTCAAGGCTTAGAAAAAGTTAAACAAGAATTTGCTAGATTGGAAATCAATTATAGAGAAACTTTGGAAATTGTTGAAGAATTACGTGAAGAGATTAAACGTCGTGATGCATTGGCTCAATTGGAAGTTATGTCTGTGATAGCATCGTCTGATTATGCTTATACTGATGGTGGTTATTCTCCCACAAGTAGTGAGGCCAATCAACAAGATATTGTGCAAAGGCTCAGAGAAGAAGTTGATATGCTTAAAGAAGATCAACTAAGAACTATCGAATTGTTGGAAGGTCATGAAATTGATTACTACAAATCATTTGATCATGAAAGATTAAAAACTTTAATAGATCAATTAAAATTGGAATTAAATCAAAAAAAGAAAAATCAAGATCAATCGTCATCGTCATCGTCATCTTCTTCTTCTAAAATTAAAGAATTACAAAATAAAATAAAATTTTTAGAAGAACAATTATTATTAAAATCTCATGATTCATCATCGTCATCACCACCACCACCATCATCATTGTCAAATATTAACAATGATATTGTTGTTGAATCAAAACAAGATGAAGATGACGATATTCAGCAAGTCAAACAACCTGAGAATTTATCATCGCCACCATTACCACCATCACCATCACCATCACAAAAATCAGTAGAAACCAATCAAAATCCAAAAGCCAATGACTCACGCTTAAGATCATTACAAATTGTTGTAGAATCAGAACGAAGAAAACAACAAGAGAAACGAAGTTCTCTTTCAAAATTAAAGGATTCCGGCGAGAATGAAGTGACAAAACAATTGAAAGATTATATTGAAAAACTTCAGCAAGAGATTGAAACTAAAAGTCATACAATAGCTGCTTTGATATTGCCATCAATTGACCAACAACAACAGCAATATAACAATATTATTACTAATAATAATAACTTACAAAGGCTTGAAAGTGAACTTGAAGAAATTAGATCAACTCAAAAATCTATTGTTGAATCTAAATATGCTCGTAACAAATCAAATCTTTTAAAAGAAAATTCTTTATTATATAAAGCTGGAATTAATAGTCATCATCAATATAACAACAACAACAACAATAGTGGTAATAGCGATAATAATAATAGCTCATTAGTACCAACTATTTTTGAAGAAATTTCTGAAGAGGAGGCAGAACAACGACGATATTCAGAAAAACGCGATTCAGCATCTACAACTGCCACTTTAACCAATGATGAAGATGAAGAGTATTTAAGATCTTTACAAGGAAAAGCCATATATCTCGAAAATCAAATAACTAGAGCTAAAGGACTTCAACCAAACAATAAAAGTGATGATGATGATAATAATAATAATACCAATTATTTCTTTAATTTATCACACAAATCTATTGAAAACCTACAGGGAAAATTATTGGAATTACAACAAGATTTAAATTTAAAATCAAATTTAATAGATGATTTACAAATAGAAAATGATGCAATAGATGAGATTAGAGAACAACTTGAAATTGTCAAATTAGATGTTCAACAAAAATATGATTTAATAGAAATTTTGAAAAAAGATTTACTAAATAAAACTTGGTTAGAACAAAAGCTCAAGCAAAAAGAGATTCAAGCTTTATTATTTAAAAACAAGTTGATCCAAGTTCATAAAGAAGAAGAAGACTTGAAGAATGAAATTAGAAAGTTACAAATGAAATTACAACAATTAGAAAATGGCGATGATGTGGATCAATTGTTAAAGCAAGAACTGGAAAGTTTAAAAGCCGAGCTGAAACAAGCAAGCGAGAGAGAATCTTTAGCACAAGAAAAATTACGAAAATTAAAGACCAACTCATTGATCTCCAATCAAGATCAAATACAACTTGAATTACAACTAGGAAACTTACGTAATAACGAGATCATACAAAGAGAACGTATTAATGTTTTAGAATCCAAGATTTTAGAAAAAGGTGTACAATTAGATGAATACTTGCTACAATTGAAGAATGATTTAACAATCACAAAAGAATCCAAAATAAATTATATTCAAACCATAGAGAATTTAGAAATAGAATTAAATAAAGTTGAAAATTTGACTCAATTTGAGAAACTCGCATCAGAATTACAAGACTTAAAAGTTAGAGAAACAAAACAATTAGAAATAATAAAAAATTTAGAGAGTTATCTAAACAACCAAATGAAGATATCCAATGATTTTGATCAATTCCAAAAATTATTTGAAGAAATCAAAGATTTGCTGTATAAAAATAATGCCAATGATGACAATTCATGGGATCAAGAAGTACATCAACAACGAATAGAAGAATTTTTGGATCACATAAGACAACAGAAACAGCAACAGCAACAGCAACAACAAAATATTCCTAATCTAAATTCAGATAATGTTTTTTCATTACAGAAACAAGTTATGGAATTAAAGAATTCTGAATCAAGTCTAAAAAAAATCATTCAAGATTTGGAATTCAAGATTACAACAACGCAAGAAGAAATACAATTATATAGTTCAATGAAAGAAGAAGTTGATATGTTGAAGAATCTTGAGATTCAACAAAAATCTCAAATAGAAGAATTAAAATTGCAACTTGATATAATCAAAGCTTCAAAAAATGCAGTCAACAAAGAATTAGAAAGATTAAAACAAGAATTTAATCAACAATCAAATATAGTGGAGTCTTTAGAGACTGATTTAAAATTTTTAAAAATAGAACTGGAAAAAACTAAAGAAAGTGCCAATGAAAAAACTTTGGAGTTGGAAGAAGTTTCTAATTTGTTGTCTGATGTTCAGAAATCCTATGAAGATGAAAGAAAGAAAGCAAATACATTGGGAATTGAATTTGAAATATTAAAACTTAGTGGCAACAGTAGTAGTGGTGGTGTTAGTAACGATGCTAGAATAATGAATTTGACGGATGCCTTAACTAAAGTTAAACTCGAAAGAATGGAACAAGATGATCTTTTGTCTGAATTAGAAAAACAATTAATGACTGTTGAAAAAGATAGAGATGCTCAAATGCAAATCTCAAACGAGCTAAAAGAAGTAATCGAAGAACAAGAGGCTAACCACCAAGAAATTGTTTTGGAACTTGAAACAAAATTACACAATTTAGAAGAAGAATTGGTAAAATCACAAGATTCAACAATCATTAGCAGAGAAATCATAACAAGTTTGGAAGAAAAATCGCTTAGGATACAATCTTTGTTGGAAGAAACAAAAAATTCCGATAAGAAAAATTCTATTTTAATTAAAGATCTAGAATTCAAGTTGCACAAAGCCAATAATATCCTAAAAGAGAAAGAGAATCAATTGTCAAGTCAAGATATACATATTTATGAGTTGGAAGCATTAATACAAAAAACTCAACTAGAAATTGGGCATGCAAAAAGATCAGAATTAGAAGCTAGTAAGAATGTTAAGGTGTTAAATGCTAAAATCACAGAGGTCAACAAATTATTATTACAAAATGATCCTTCGATAACAGATCTTGAAAACGCCAGAAAATTAGCATCAGAACAATCCAAGCTAGTAAAACAATTAGAGGTTAGACTTAGTTTGACAGCTAATCATGAAGAGGGTGATAGGATAGATGAGATTGTTTCAGGAATGAGGTTAGAGTTGGAAGAAGCACGAAATTCCGAAATCACAAAATCTAAATTGATTAAAGAATTAGAAGGCACATTGGAATGCAAGAATTATAATATTAAAGAGTTAGAAATGGCAATTAATAATTCAAAAATGGAGCTTGAAAAGGTTAAAGGGTTGGAATCAAAACATTTGAATTTGATCAAAAAGTTAGAGTTCAAACTTCAAGAAATTGAATTGAAACGTAATGATGAACTTACTAACTTGCACGTAGCTAATAAAGAAATTGATTCGTTAAAGAATTATTGCAAGGAATTACAAAAACAAATCGAAGAACCTCAAAATAACTCTGTAAATAAAAATGTTGGAAGTCAAGAAATTACTGGGGATTTAAATCATCAACTTAAACGAGCAAACGGACAAATTAAAACATATTTAAAACAAATATCCGAGTTACAAAAAATTATTCAAGAACTTAAATTAGAAAAATATGTAAAGATCGAAGAAAATTCTGAATTAATAGATGAAGTAAATAAACTTCAACAAGATTTAGATTTATTATCTAAAAAATTTTCTATTTCATCTTCCAAATTCGAAAGTTTTGATGAATTAGCAAGAAGACAACAGCTTAGAATAGAAGAATTGGAAATAAAACTGAAAAAAGCTGAAAAATTGAACCAAGCTATATCAATCCGTAACAACAGCAGCAGCAACAGCAGCAGCAACAACAACAATAAAAATAATAAAAGGGCTATTGAACCACAAATTAGAGGATTATCTAATCCAGAATTTGTTAAGCTTACTGCTACGTATGAAAGTTTAAGGACTATAAATAATAATCTTAATTCAAAGGTCATGGATTTAAATGCACATGCCAGTAAATTAATTGAGAAAAATAAAACTTTACAAAATGAATTAACCAGCTTTATCAATATGAGTGATAAACCAACATTCAATGAAATGAAAGAAAAAATCAAAGAATTAGAATTGGTAAAAGAAGAATTAGAGGAAATAAACAAAAAATTCTTCCAAGAATGTGTAACACTCGATCAGAAGATTCAAACTTTAATGGAACAATCATGGTCAGTAAATCATAATGAAAATTCACATATAGGCACACATTTGTCTGAATTAAATGATCAAATAACCATTAAAGAAAACGATCTTTTAAGTTTAAAACTTAAAACATCGAAGGAGTTCATCCAAATGGAAAATGAAGTTGCTAGACTTCTTAACGATAATGAAAATTTTAAACAACAATTAAAAGAATGGAGCTTAATAAATTCTAAAAAATTAAATTCAAATGATAACTTGTCTGGTCAACAAGAATCCACGATATCACAACAATCAGTCATGATTAAATCTTTACAAAAAACTATTTCTGATTTGGAAAGGAAATTATATGAGATCACATCAGGAACAAATGTACCTACGCCATTAGATATGAAGAAAATTTTACAACAGCATGGCTTACCAGAACACGTCCCACCACCAACACCACCACCAAGTCAACCATTGCCACCGATTCCATCATCATCTACTTCTCAAAATCCAACATATTCACCGAAACTAAATTTACGTAGACCTTCACTACAAAAAATAGATTCATATTTCCAATCGAGGCATCAAAATTCTTACGAGTTTAGTCCAGGAACAGCAGAATCCCTGTTAGAAATACAAAAATTACATAAAAAGATAATAAAAATCGAAGCAGAAAGTCTACAAAACAAACAACTAGTTGAAACCTTGGAGAATTCATTGAACGATAATGAGACAAGTCTTGAAACAACAAAACAAGAATTGTCTGCAGTACAAACTCAAAAGAATGAACTTATGAACCAAATCAAAGTTCTAAATGCTCAATTAACTCAGGCAATTGAAGAAGTAGATAAAACTAAAATGAATGTTAAAACTGAAAAATTATTTATGGAAAAGAATTTGGAAGAAGAAAGACAAGCAAAAGAACGTTCAGAGGCTGCTAGAATAGCATTGGAACGTCAATTAGAAAGATTACTGGCCAAGAAACATAAATTTATGTGTTTCTAAAAAAATTTTGAGCAAGCTGATTTTGTTGAATTTATTAATTTATTTAGTTTATTTAATTTATTTATTTAATTTATTTACTAAAAAGTAATAAAAAAGTATATATAGAGATAGCATATTGTAATTAATTTTTAACGGGAGAATAGTATTTATTTATATTTATTTATCATTAGATTTGTTTATTAATTATAATTTTGTATTTATATTTTAACTTGATAACAATAATAATAATTTAATCAAAAAATGTGTAATTTTATTATTTTTTTTTTTTTTCAATAATTAAATAATTCTCTATTTTTTAAAAATCAATAAATCAAAAAATTAAATTGTTATTATTATTACAGATTTTTATACGTGTAGTAGATTAGACGAAGGAAAGAGAATTAATAGAGATGAATGGATGTTGATCGAAATTGTAATGCATTTATTATCAACATGCACATCGTAATATTCTAATCTGTTATTAAATAATTTTTCTAAACTATTCGCAAATTTAACATAAATGGTTCCTTCAGAATTATAAATTCGACAATTCTTAAAAATAGTTCTAACGTCATTAATATATTCTTCAATAGATTTATAAATTTTACTCTCGACTTTAGATTCAATTGTTGATAGATCCATTGGATTTTTAATGATTGTATAATAATCATGGACTTCTTCAGGTTTAACTGGGTCACGAAAAGGCCATGATTTTGCATGCTTTTTAAGTTCGGATATTATAATTGCCATGATATCACGGATCGTTTTCTTATTACCACGAGCCTTAGCTTCCATTTCTGGTGTCCAACCGGATTCTCTAATACCTGGTATTTCCATGGGATCTATCGAGCTTTTATTGTTATTTTTGAAAATTGCGAGACCAGGATATTCTGGTACATTTTTACGATGCTCAAATATTAATTTTTGAATTGTTGATTTTTGCTTAGACAAAATTTCATCAATTTGATGATATTGAACTTTTAACAATAACTCCAGTTGCATCATTGTTGCCTCATCATAGTCTTTTATGTAACCAACCCAAAGTTTTTTTTTGATAGTAATATCGGTGGTAAAACCATTTTTTTTAAAAAAACCCATTGCGTGATTATCAGCATAAGTCATCAAGTATCTAATACCACAATTGTCTTTTAAATGATCTTTTAAATTATTCATCATAAATGAACCATGACCTTTTGCTTGTTCGGTTGAACTCACTGCACAAAAAACAATTTCAGCTAAATTGTTATCACTGAAAAGTCGATACGTGATTCCACCAACAACATGTGAGCCTCTCTTAACTATTATTAATGAAGAATGGTTTTTATCAAGAACAAGACGTGTAATATACTCGGCCGGCATGTTTGGAAGTTGAGTTTTGATTAAATTTTTGAGTGAATTCAACAGTATTAAACTTTCTCTTTTACCATCATTGTTTATAAATTTTATTTTTATATCAGTTGATCCATTCCTTTCTTCTACCATTTTTTTTTTCGTCCTAAAGTTTAAGTTTGATATGAAAAAATTGAATTTCTATTTATTTCTATCCCATTTTTGGAAATTCATGTGTCACTTTTTTTAATGAAGGCATTTATTTAAAATGAACAAACTCCAATTCAAATTCATTAATCAATATTGCCAAACAAACAAAAATCAAATACTTATAAAAGTTTGTATATTTAGCAATTGAAAAAGGAACACAAATAAAATCAAGTTTTCTTGCAAAATTAATGGATGCTCTTGAGAAAATATTAATTGCAGAAAATTTCTCGATTTTTTATTGCTACATATAAATATTTATTGGGTTTGGTCATCATCATATGCTTTTATTACCTATCCATCCATCATCCATCTGCCTATTTATTTATAGGAAAAGAAACAACTTGCAGATAATGAAGCAGTAAAGCATTCGTAGAAAATCTTTGGCCTAGTTTTGAAAAAACAGTCAAACCAATTATACAAGATTATGAAAAATCTATTTGTTCTCTCGAACAACAATTGAACAATGCCCGTGAGACCTTAACCAACTCTGAATCAACTATACAAGTTCGAGAATTAAAATTACACGAGACTGAAAAAGCAAATGAAAAAAATAAAATTTTAATAAATGAGATTAAATCAAAATTGACAAAATTAATTGAACATGAAGAAACCACGGAATCATACATAAAAAATCTTGAAATTAGGCTCAACATAGAATCTTCTCAACAAATTAAAGATTTGAACGTGATTGAGGAACTTCGGGTGAAACTTGATGACTTTGAAAATTCTGAAGAAAATAACGAAATTTTGATCAATCAATTAGAATCAAAAT